AGTTTGAAGTGAATGCTGGTTTTTCAACAGCGTTGTGGAATAAATAAATATTTTCACATGAACAGTGTCATTGCAAAGAAATGGTTTCCTATCAGGAAGGAGGTGAGTCGGCTAGAGATATCATTTCACACTTAAATGATGAGAAATAGTTCTCTGGTTAAAAATAGTCAAAGGAAATTCTTTGGAAGTCGACCTACTACTATCAGTGGGATTGAGTTATACTTCACTGCACATGGAGGTATAAACACACACACACACACTCTCACACACACCTGTCTATACGCATAACCTAACGATTAAACCCCCTTTAATCTTTATTTCATGTTTCTTTTCACTGCCAATATCCAGCACACTTACGCTCAGCATGATGCCCGCTGTAGCACTTTGTGGTGCGCCTAATGTTTACTATTGCTGGTGTTTACAAGTCTGCTTAAACAAAAACCACCAGCCGTTTACCACGGCACCTACCGCTGCCAAACAGCCACAGTTGGCAGTCTGTAAAACCACTAATAACAGAGAGTGTTATGAGTTCCCTTGGTGGAGGAGAACATTTAGAAGAGAAGCAGTGTCATAAAAGTGTGCATAATTATGATTAAACGAGTGTAAATTGTTTCTAAGAAAGGAAAACCTAATTAAACACAGTCTTTTAAACAGAAGGATTTCTAGGGAATTAATGTTGTTGTGTAAGCAACAAAGCCTAATTAAATGCTATTTTGTTTAAGGATGAGAAGCACATTTGCTTGTGTGTTTGACTGAGAGTGTAAACTGTTTTTTTATATACGTATGTGTGGTGGTGTTTTAAGTTTAAATGCCTTAAAAAGCTGCTGTCTCAACATAAGGTCCCCAAATGTTGCCAAAGAAGTGCTGCACTGTAAAAATTATACTAGCATAATTAAACTCACAAATCTTTCTCTGTCTTTTTCCCCTCTCTGAAATCCTCTATCTCCCCTCTCCTCCCTCTTTTTCAACTTTGGTCTGTCTCTTCTAGACTTGTGTTTGATGAGTTATATAAATACAATCCCAATGGAAAATGTGCGTCATGGTACAGACATGGTACAGGCTCCTGTGTTTGAAGAAGGGTGTGCGTTCATATGCACACAAACACACACACACACACACACACGCATGCACGCAGACACACGGCAAAGACAATCACCATCACTGTTTATGAACTGAGATAGAAAATTGAGGTAAAAAAAAAAGAAATAAAAAGCATTCTGTTGTTTCACGAGATTGTTTGAAAGTAGCACTTATTTGCTGAGCAATTGCTCGTAATTAAAAAATAAGCATAATTGTCTCCATCACCACATCACAGCCTACCTGACTTTTAAATTCTGCACAGTCTTTGCACTATATGTGTGCCTGCATGTCTGTGTGTGTGTGTGTACCATGTTTACATATCTTTATGGGGACCAATACTTGAATACTACTACACTTGTGGGGACCAACAGTCCCTTATGGGGACAAAATGCACGTCCCCATGAGTTTGAAGGCATTTTTGAGACTCAAAATGTGGTTTTACAGTTTTTCTCAAATGCTAAAACACAAAAGCCAATCCTCTAAACCAGGGGTGGGCAACTCCAGGCCTCGAGGGCCGGTGTCCCTGCAAGTTTTAGTCCTTGAACCAACACAGCTGATTTAAATGGCTAAATTAGCTCCTCAACATGTCCTGAAGTTCTCCAGAGGCCTGGTAACGAACTAATCATGTGATTCAGGTGTGTTGACCCAAGGTGAGATCTAAAACCTGCAGGACACCGGCCCTCGAGCCCTGGAATTGCCCACCCCTGCTCTAAACCAAATGACCAGTTGTCTAAACACATTTACTAAATCTAGCCATCATTTACCAATATCATAAACACATGTCACATGAAGACACAATTCACAGAACACAATCCTCCGTTGTCATAAATCTAAACACATCTTTCCTTGCTAAAACACAAGTTGCAAAAGAACTCTGCTCATATTCTCAAATGAAAGCTCATGTGATGCAACATGCTTGCCACAGTCAGCAATATTTGAGCACAATGAACACCCCTGGCGTCATTCATTACACACAACAGTGCACAGAGTGCACAGTATGCTGAAGAGTCCAAACAAACACAATGGATGAAGGCAGAGTCAGGGGAAGAGGAATTCGATCCAGAGGAGGGAGAAGAGCTGGCCCTGGAGGAAGAGGAGCAGGCCAACGAGGAAGAGGAGGAGGCCGACATGGGAGAGGAGAAGGTCCAGGAGGGAGAGCAAGACAACCTCGCACCATCATTACGGACGAGATGCGAGCAACAGTCATTGACCATGTCATTGTCCATGGCATGACAATGGCTGAAGCAGGACTAAGAGTCCGTCCAAACCTGAGTAGGTTCACCGTGGCCACCATTATCAGGGCATCCAGACAACACAACAGGTATTGTACTCGATTGCTTTCTTTGTCACAATACAGTTTTACAAACCTGTGAAAGTAGTCTATTGGTTTCAAATCAGTTGTGACAGTATTGTAACACATGTCAATTGACAACACATGTTTCTTTCTTTAGAGTTGAAAGAATGCCACATAGAGGTGGGATGGTTGCCATATTTAGAGCGGCACAAGAAACCCTCATTGTGGATATGGTTTGTGGGAACAACCTCATCAGACTCTGGGAGATCAGAGACAAAGTCATTGCTGATAATGTCAACTTTGAGAGCATTGATGATGTCAGCTTGGCCACAATAGACTGAGTTCTCTGGCGCAAAAAGACGCGGATGAGACAGGTCTATAGGGTTCCCTTTGAGTGCAACTCTGCGCGACACAAAGACCTACGTTACGAGTATGTGCAAGTAAGTATACATCCATGTTCACAGTACAGTTAGTGGACATACTGTGTTGCTCAATGGCCTACATTACTTCTGGACAATACTGTGCTACCTGATTGACTGTTGTTCTGAACACCTGTGCACTTTCACATTTTCACAGAGGATAATACAGTTGGACGCGATGGCCAGACCTCATGAGTACCTCTTCCTGGATGAGGCTGGCTTCAACCTGCAGAAACGAAGGCAAAGAGGCCGTAACATCATTGGCCAAAGAGCCATCACTGAGGTCCCTGGTCAACGGGGGGTAATATTACCCTTTGTGCGGCCATGGGTTCGGAGGGGCTTGTCCACCGGCATGCTGTCCTTGGGTCTTACAACACCCAATGTCTCCTCACCTTCCTAGAGGAGCTAAAAGACATCCTCCTGGACCGCCAACAACACCATCCTGGGCCCGCACATCACATTTATGTGATCATTTGGGACAATGTCCGCTTCCACAGAACAAACCAAATCAGAGAGTGGTTCACCACCAACAGTGACCACTTTTTAAACGTCTGTCTGCCACCCTACTCCCCTTTCCTGAACCCTATAGAGGAGTTCTTCTCATCGTGGAGATGGAAGGTTTATGACAGACAACCATACACAAGAGAGAACCTCCTAAGGGCAATGTGTTGTGTTGACATCCCAGCGGAGGCCTCCCAAGGATGGATTCGCCACTCCAGGGCGTTTTTCCCGCGGTGCCTGGCAAGAGACAATATAGCCTGCGATGTGGATGAGGTGATGTGGCCCGATGCAGCTCAGCGACATGATGCCACACAGTGATTGTGGTGTGAATAGCGTAAATAAAAAAACTTCACACCCTGATCATGTTTTCAAGAGTACTGTTGTGTGCAATAGATTCTGTTTTTGCATTGAGTTGTGTTACAGTAGTGTACGTACATGCAGGATTTTCTATAGATTTATACTCTTCATATGAAACTCACAAATCTAAATGCCTAATCCTCTGCATAGATCTACGATGATCCGTTACTGTATGGTTTCTACAAATATGCATTGGCAGTTATGAACCAAAGAACCTTCTCACAAATTGAGCATTGTGTTTTCAATTGTTTTGCTGTAGTGTGTAATGATGTGTATAGTGTTTACATTTTTGAAAGCTTCAAGCTGCTCTTTTGGTGTGAAAAAAGAGTTTGAGTTTTGCAGTGGGAAGGTGTGGTTGTGTTTATGTAGCTTTAGAAAAGGGTGTGTTTAGACATTGAGGAACATGGTGGAAACGTTTGTGAAATGTGTTTTAGCATTTGAGAAAAACTGTAGTGTTAGGGTTACAATTAGGTTATGGTTAGGTTTAGGTTAGAGTTAGGCATTCATTTCTGATGGTTAGGGTATGCAGGTAGGGAAAGCATTATGGCAATAAGATGTCCCGTCTAAGAAATGAAAACAACATTGTGTGTGTGTGTGTGTGTGTGTGTGTGTTTCGAACCTGTCATTCAGTCTATTTCAGATTTGCTAAGTATATCGCCTGGGTCCTGAGGAATTTCAGTGTCTATTGTTGGGTTGAGTGTTAGTCTCATTTGTGACCTCTTAATTATGTCACTGTTTTAGTTCAAATCAATGAACTGCAATATATTAGCAGAATTTCCTGTGTGAAAATAAGTAAAGGGTGACACTGCACATCTGGTTTTCTTTTATCAGAACAAATCAGCCTTGATAATCATTAACTGTCCACTATTGCTCATTACCCTTTTTATGTTGTATCATAACACTGCAGCACAGCCTCTCTCTTTTTGAACCTTTTTTCTCCTCTCCAATTCATCTGGGCAATATATTGTACATTTAGCATATGTCAAATCAAAACTATGGCTAGATTCTGTTAAGTAATGCGAGGGCAAATAAGGGTTCAGCCATTCCATAAATCAATAAAGAAACCAAGAAACTAAGCCTTTTGTCTCTGCCCTTTGATGTCAGCTGAAATCTGCAATAAATGTCACTAAACAAAAAAACCCAACCATTTCTTATCTGTCAACACCATCAAATTATAAATGAACTAAAACTGGAGTAAACAACCAGCCAATCCAGATAAGAGCAGAAATCACAGTCTCTAAAATGTGTAAGTCATTAAACAATCGTCTAAATAATCGAACAATTGTATCACATGTTAAGTTGTTTACGTGTTTGTGTCTTTGTCAGTATGAGCTGAGAGTTATACAAACCTGTAAGTAGCCTCGCCCTGCTCTTTCCTTTAAGGGTTAGTGGGGAAAAGAGGAGAAAAAGGGAGAGAAATCAGTAACCCAGCAGATTAAATGAGGATTGTAAAGATGTTGCCATTAATGGATATGGGAAGCATCAAGCCAAAAGGAGGCAAAAGGAAATAAATTTGAGTCCAATGGGTTTGATTACTTTCATCCCATGCAAGCAGCCATGCACCATAAGGCTAAATGTTAGGTAAAGGATAGACACGGAAATCAGAAAAGTACAGTCATGGTTTTTTAGGACTCTATGAAGTCCTGTAAAAAAACAAAGTACACCCTCACTGTTTCTACAGGAACTAAGAGGATAAATAGCAGCCAGGTGCTGTTGATCAAATGCACGTGACTAACTGATCATCAGTAAGTGTGACCACCTCTATAAAATAAGTATTTTGGCAGTTTCCTGATCTGGATCATTCAGCTGTGTGTTAACACAATGCCACAATCTTCTCAAGAGTAGATGTCAAAGCAAATTCAGCGCAGAGTTAGACCCTGCAATAATCAGCAAAAATACGCACAAAAAAGAGCTACATGTCAGACTCTACAGGCCTCAGTAAGCATGTTAAGTTACAAAAAAACAGCTAAAAATCTATGGCTTATTTAAAGTGTTGCCAGAAGAAAGTTTCTTCTCTCTGAAAACATTACAACACCATGGTTTAGCTTTGCAAAGTTGCATCTTAACAAACCAAAAGACTTAAACAATTTAATTTGGAAAGACAAGGCTAAAGTGTAGATGTTTGGCCATAATGCGGAGTGCCATGTTTGCAATAATCAAACAGCATATCAGCACAAATACGTCGCACTAACTGTCAAGCATGATAGTGACCATGGCAACTTGCAGTCATTGAGTTGACCATAAAGTATACCAAAGTATTCTTGAGTGAAACATGAGGATATCTGTCTGCCAGATAAAGCTTGGCCTAAACTGGGTCATGCACCAGTGCAATGATGCCAAGCACAAAGTAAATGTATGAAAAAGAAAACAATCAAGGTGCAGTCAAAGTCCACACTTCAACGTGAATGATTCAATTCAATTCACATAGCGCCAAATCCCAACAACTGTCACCTCAAGGATTTTTAAACAAATGCCCCCAAACCTCACCGAACTGAAAACTTCTGAAAAACATGTGAGAGGCAGATGTGAATAGAAAATTATTAACTTAAGTTTCTGAAGGTGGTTCTCTGAATCATGGGGTGTACTTCTTTTTTAACAGGATTGCATACAGTCGTGTGGAACCTTTCCCCCCCCCCACAAGACTGGCTGTATACTGGTACAGCTTCAAAAATGCAGGACAAAACAAATATTAGTACATCGCAAAACTCACTCATATCCATGCCAGCTCAATAATTCTGTCTGACTTTGCTGAAAGTAATGTGCTAATTTTACCCAAGCTGCATTCAGGGTTTCATTAAACATCAAGTCAGCTAGAATTTGAATTAATGGGATCTCATAATCTTTGGCATCTTTTAAATTTGTGCTACAGTACAAATTTTAAAAAGTATTTTCTTTCTTTTTAATGTAAAAAAAGTATTTTTTTTTCTTTTTTAACCCATCTGGCAGGCATTTTCAGCACTAAATATTTACAAAATGTACACAATCATCAGACAAATTGTTAACAAAACACATCAGCAACCATATATGTTGCACACATAAGATTTGACAAATCTTATGTGTGAATCTGAGGATAGTGAAAGTTATGCCATCAGCAAAACATTCCAGAGTTTGGTATGCTTATGAAACAGAATGTTACAATGATTCATAACAATGAGTTATGCAATGAAACAGCAGCCGAGGTTACACCAGAGGAGGTGAACACACACCAGGTGAGGAGGAAAAGATGAGAAGGAGGGCTGAGCAGCAGAGGCCATGATTGTAAGTCTGTAAGTTGTTACCTACTTGGCGGGGCTGCAGGTATGCAACGCCTTCAAATGAGGCTTCCAGGTAGCAATGGAAACCGAGTTCTCATCAGCAGCATAACTACGCCAGACACACTACGTGCAGAGTCAACAGGATAAATAAAGTAATGATAAATCGAACAATAAACGGAGCAAAAAAGGGGTGAGGGAGGATCAGATAGGTTGGGTAGGAAGTGAGAGAAGAAAAGTGAGGAGGGAAAAAGAAAAACCTGATTAGTTTTCGGGGGGAGTGTTGATGCGGTGCGGTTGGGGGATGTTGAAGGGAGGTGGGGCAGTGATGGTGGTGGTGCTGGTGGAGGGGATACATGCCTGAGGGGGGAGAGAGCGCTTTGGTAGTGGTGCCAGGTGGCTCTGAGGTAGGGACGAGCACCGTCGGTGGAGTACATACGCCAAGCTGCCTGGGTGGGGGAGGAGCAGAGATGGACAAGACACAAACACATTCACATGTGCACACGCACGAACACACATAGATAACACAGAAATGACACAAACTTGGTGAGGGAAAATAGACTGAGGTTTATGTGAAAACGTAACCTCCAGTTTAAAAGCCTGTAACCACCTGGCAGATATTGTGGAGGTTGTCAGTACAGACATGAGGAGTAAATTGTGTCATTTACAGTCACTTTAGTTAATTTGACATAGTTTCTCAAAAATATGAACAAAATGTTATTCCATATTAACTTCTACTTAGGCAAGGATTTTTTAAACTTTTGTCAAAGCAATGCTAAACTATAGAGACAGGGTGCAATCTGTTATATATGTCTAAAACATATATAACATGGGCTGAAATGCTAACAAAAAGCATCAGGTTTGCTGGATTTCACAATATCAAATGATTATTTTAGCACCATATGGCTATTAGCTGTAGGAAATCTAATGCTAGTTGGCTATAAGAAATATAATAAAATTAAAAATATCTTGGAGGCCTACCTTGGAGGAATATACCAGATTGTATTTGACTCTCAGTTTTCCTATTTTTCCTTTTAATATGGTCTTTATAAAGGTTCAGTCATTCCTGTATTTATTTATTTTTTAATTTCAGCAGCTTTTAAAAAACATTTGGGTTTCTTTAGCCTGTCGTAATACTTTCACGCAAACATCTGCTCTTAGGCATTTGTCAGTTTATTGCTGGCAGATGGAAGTGACAAGGAAGCACAGCAACCTAATACAAAGAGTGTGGAGAGCCGTGAATTGTTTTCCTTTTAGCTGTGCATGGATTTAATTGCTCTCTGTCGCTATGGTGATTGTCCATCAGAAATTAAATGGCTTCTTGGCATTTAGATAGATAGATATAATTTTATTTCGAACATGCAAATATAATTGAAATAACAGCAGAAAGAACAAAAAACAAAACTTAAAAATCATCAAGTTTTCATGTATATATCTATGTCTACAGAATAGGTGTGCTTTTAGTTTAGCATTTAGGCTAAACTAAAAGATTAGGACACCTTCTAAATTCAGTGCAGGAGAAATATTAAGTGCAACGGACTGTTTAAATTCATCTATGGAAATCACGTGTTTGCTGGTAAAGTTATCAGCAAGTTGTAACAGTGGGGCAGGATGAGACATCAGTGTGTTTAGGGTGTTTGTCAGAGCCAGTGATGGACACAAAGTACCCTTTATACATCATCTTATTTAACTGAGCCGGTCATACAGTCTTCTATGCCAGATTAACAGTGAACCTAATTCAAAAGTAATAACTGATGAGGCCACAAGCTGTCTGCCACCTATCTTTTAAAGGTTGCTTCCTTTACATCGTCAACCATAATTTACTTGCAGCTGACTCAGCCTCCTCAAACTTGCCAGGTATGGTTACAAGATTTCAGACCTGACTTGGAAAACCCAAATATAAACACTTCAAACAGACAGGATGGAAAATTAACACTGACCACCTGCCAAACGCTAGTCAGTTTTGGCTGCTGATTATTATGTGGACACTTTAATATCATTTATAGATTCAATCTTGCTCTGAAAATTACACATCAAGTTATTTGGCAAAACAGCTATGACAGATGTTGAAATTTAGAATTGACCAGCTGCGAAGGCTTGAGGACAGTGGTAATATTGTGTTATGCTCACACAGAAAATAGCGATTAAAAGCAGGGAGAGCTGCGTGAGATGAGGGGAGTGAAGCGACAGACAGAGTAATGACGCCGTCCACATATTTAACACTTCACAGGTGCTTCCAAGTTTCCTTTTACCTGTTGAGGAAAATGTCATGAACTTGGCAGATAACAGACAGTGACCAGATACTTGATACACAGCCAGTAAAAGAGGAACAAGACCAACACACACTGGATTAATTGTTCACTTAGTGGGTTATTAAGGATCAGTTGGGTTCCAACTGGATTTCGTCTATGCTAACAACAGATATTTATACATAACAAGGAGATCAGACAAAACAGTGGTTTGATTTAATGAATTAGTCATACAAATATTTATGAAAACTTTACCCATATCATCCGACTACTTATTTGGAAGGGAAGAGCACCCATACCACGTGTGCGCATACAGTGAGAATAAAGTGGATCCATAATGCTGTGTATTAATTATTTATTCATTTATTTTCATCAGGAAGATGCTGTCAAACAGATGGCAAAGTATCTAAGAAATTGTATCTTAATGTTACCATTAATTATTCACTAAAACACATGATATGCACCGACATATGTTCTATTTAGAACATAAAGAAATTACAACGGCATTCCCTGAGCTATCAGGTTGATATTAAGACCAGACTGCTGCATGTGACCAACAGTGAAGTTTAGTTTCCATTGTTTGTATGCTTTAGATTTCCTTTGGTTTAGTTTGATTGACATATTTACATTACTATGAGATAGTTCTTTACAAGCTTGACAATGATCGCTCGGTTGCTTCGTCAAACGGCTGACAGCGGATATGGGACAATGAGGGAAGAAAATCCAAGACTTCTTGGCCGCATTTGTAGATATCCTTGGAAAGGGAAAGATCTTGTCAGGCTACTATGACAGTCTAGAAACCCCTTCATTAAGAAACAGATGCAAATGATGACAGACAGTTTGGGTAACAATTTAGATTTCCAGATTTCCACTTCCAAATATGTAGTTTTAAAACTGGGTCAGCAGTAGAGTTTTGGATTTAAAGTGTGAGGAAGTTTTTGTCTAGCTGTGTCTAACAGTTGGCGAACGTGATGCTATCATATTATCATAACTGATACAGATTAGAACAACATTCGAAACAGCAGCGTGAGACTCAGACGTTTGAGTTTGGATTTCATTACTGACCGGAAAATTTCAGAAAGTAGTGCAAGGTAGTTCGTAAGATAGGAGAAGGTAGACAGAACAGACAAACGCCTACACAAAAACAAACACATGCAGTCTCACAGATACATGCAAAAAAGAGACACGCACACATTTAGCTGCGCACTTCAGGGAACGCACTCCACAGCAGATATTTATTGTTCATTAGCAAGCAATGCAGCTGGTCTTGTCTATTACAAGTGATAGTTTGAAGGAGCGTCCGCCCAGGGAATGATCGCCATGGAAACGGCTCATAAATCCCAGCAGTGTGTGTTGCAGTTGGACCTGAGAGTCGACAGTGTGCCTCACACACTGTTAGTCATCACCGACTACACACCTTGACAAGGCCGAGAAGAGCATAATACACACACACACACACACACACACACACTCATATTAAGTACGCTCTTAATGAAACACCCCTACAGTAATAGAAGTGATGCACACCTGCACTTCAACAAAGGGTAAAGAGTGGACACACTCATGCTTTTATTTAAAAACAGGCAAAACGGACGTGAACTACACATGAACATTTTCACATAAAGGGAATTTTTTTTTTCTATTCACACTGGTACTCAGCTGCTTCTGCTGAAAAAAAAAATCAGTCGAGGTGAGGTGTGTTTGTTCTCTGCATGTCTGAGTATCTACCTGGATGAGGCTGGCAGCTGGGTTCCTCCTTTTTTCAAAGTGCTTTTGTCGATGCTGCTCCTGCACCTTCAGGGCAAAGCCTGAACCTAGGATGCCCTATGTGGAGAAAACAAAGACACACATTGAATTTAAACTTGAAGAAAATTCACCATGGAGAAAAAAAGCGCCTGCTCTTATTTGTGTAATATGTACAGATTATTTTGAAGAAATACAGAAAGTGTAATCAGTCATTGTGCCGCGATGTTTTACTCACAGCTGGCAGGGCAAAGAAGGAGATCCCCAGCAGAGCAAAACACGCTGATAATAACCGCCCAGTCCACGTCTGTGGGGTCTTGTCACCGTAGCCAATAGTTGTAAGGGTGATCTGAAAGTTCAGAGGACACTACTCAAATAATCATAGCCAACATCATTTTATTTATACAATTTAACTCACAGGATGAAGGAAATTATATTTTTGCACGCTGAAATAAAAGAGGCTCAACGCTTTCATATACACAACAGATATGAACATCAAAGCATGCATCACATTCACAGTATTGCAAAAGTGTACAAGTACAAGTAGAGACTGAGATGTGCACGTTTATGTTCTGTCTGCTTTTTGGTTTTACTTCCTCAAATTTAACTGATATTCTTACAAAGACTGAAACGTGCACAGAAGCAGTTCACATCATTTTATTACATTTAACAAAAACGTCTTGCCTTTAAGGTACCACATTCCTATCTACATGGCTATAGTATCATTTGTTAAACTTCATTTCAAATGAATTTCCAAATATAAGTGATATTAATAATTTTTATAATCTTCAATAACCGGTAAAGACAAGAGTTAATTACTTTCAAACCCATTTCTCAAATGCACTTATTAAACAGAATTAAAGAACACCAACATCTGCTGAATGGTACGCTGTGCATCTCCCAAATGTTCAGATTTTTCCAACCAGGGAATAAAAGATTAATCAGTGTGAAGGAAAATATCCTCAGCATTCCGAAAGCTGTGTGAAATGAAGGTTCTAAATCTGTGAAACTGGCTTCTGGATCTCTGTTTTTTCACCTTAAAGTGAAATGTATCTAAACTTGAGCTTTTAGCAAGTATAACGCCACAGTTTTTAGTGTCTACCAGACAGAATCTTCTCCAAGGTCGCAGCATGTGGGACCATGGTGTGTTATTCCCACAAGCCGAATAGGCCAGTCGCACCTGGCCGCAGGAGAAAATTGACTTTATTGATTGGGCCGTTTCTTGTTTGTGTGTTGTCTGTGTCCATATTTTCAAAGGAGGAAACAGTGCGGTATAGCCAGCCAAGTGTGAATTTAAAGACCATTTTTCCTTGTTTTTGTATTGCAGGTGTCATTAAGGTCACAGACAAACTATGAAAAGTAATATGTCACTGCTGCAAGATCAGAACGACAAAAGTTTTCTTTATTTTTTGCATCTGAAAAAATTATGATGGGTTTGAAATATTTTAAGAGTTAAGAGTTCATTTTAAGAGTTAATATAAATGATTCAGCTGTCATTCAATTAAGTTATGGTTATTTTAGCTGAGACTTCAGGATGTCACAAACAGGACTGTCTCATTAAGAATGTTAGCAAAGAGCTTCAGAGATTACAGGCTTGGACAAAAAAATTTGTACAATTTTGGTCCATGAAAATTGAAATAAAATCAATTAATCAGTCCAAAGCTTTTTCAAAACAGTTTCAAAACCCTACAGTTGGACTAAAATAATTTTAACCGGCTGTGTTTTACAGCATGCCGTGTGCCAGGTTAGTGTGCATCTCCATGTGCTCACCGTGCCCCACCACAGAGCATCGGCGTAGGTGGCAAACTCCTTGTTGAATTCTTTCTCCACCAGATAGACCAAGAAGGAGGAGAAGATCAACACCAGAAACCCTATATACCAGGCAGTCACCAGCTCCTGCAAGAAATACAGATAAAAGATTTTTATATTTTCATAAAGATGATTTCTACCCTTGTGCTGCAAACATGGTGAACGATATAGATAGTTTTCTTTTGAATATAATCGCTCCCTATTGAGATTTTCACCACTCCACATAAGTCATTAAGTAACATTATTATCTTTTCCCCCACTTTTCAACTTGGTTTGTGGTAAGGAGAAAAAAAAAACAATATTTTTCAATGAAAATGTGGTCAATTTAAAGTTCACTGCACCAACAGTGAATACAGTACAAAATAAATATGAACATAAATGCATAAACAAGACGGATGGTCACAATATCAGGAGTACATGCAACTGGCAAATAAAAGAAATTACATCTGCATATAATATATCAATCAGAACAGTAATAGCATACTTTATAAAGTACCTGTGAAAATGGTGATTAAAAACTAGCACTAACAGATTGTCAGGTGCCCTATAACAACTCAACAACATTGAATTGATGCTATTTTAAATAAATGTGACAGTTTCTAATTAGCTCAGTTTGCTGATGTAAAATCTCACTGCAAGTTTCAAGTCTTACAGAAGGATGTTGGCTTTGAAATGATAGTCCCATACACAGTAAAGCTGATATCAAAGTACTTTGTTGCTAGCTAAAATATTCTTCAAATTCAACCATTATTTGTCATTAGCAATGACCAAAACACAAACTCGAAGCTTCAAGAGGATCACCCATTAGTCCGCAAAATAATGGGATAATGACTTGGCGGCTAAGCCCATCCTTTATATACAGTTTATTATTCAGTAGAAGAATATATTTGCACAACGTCAATTTTTGTGCAGCACAAAAGTGAGAATAATTGTACTTTAATTAACTGTGCCTTTTCTATCCACACAGCTTTTATTTATAATTGTAATGACCCCAGCTCTCTCCAGGGATAAGGGGATGTAACATTAACAGTGGAAAAAGCTAAAGGCAGGATTTTAATCTTTTAATGAGTAACAGTGTTAACAGAGAACACAACAAAAGAGGAGAACCAAGGGCCCATGGTTGCTTTAAAAAAGAAATAAACAAAGAAGCAAACATAAGAGACTCCTCATCTAAGAGTCATATTCACAGTTTACAGATGTTTCAGTAGCAAAACCAAAAACATTCACAAGTGAATGTGTGTAAACAAACAGTTTGTCTACATGTGTGACATTTGGATGAGGAAGCTAACCACTGGCCCCGTCCCCAGCTACACTAAATAAACATATTTAGTAACTCAAACTGAAGAAGCCAAAGTCTCAGAATGAACTGCAAGTGTTTGTAGTTAACCAGAAGAGCAGAATGACCAATGTGCAATCTCTCCGGTAAGCACTAACAAGGTTTACGGAAATGGCGGCAGGCTGCTCACATTAAATCAAAAGTGGCCCTGACGAACTGCTCTGCTGCCCTTTTAAGCAGGTGACACTGCAGCTTTATTGGAGTAGGTACTGGGGCCAGTCCAAAGAGGCAGCTCAGCAGTGGAACGAGCAAGTAAAATGTCCAGTCACATTTTAGACTTCTTTGACAGCTAAAGTTACTTAATGCTTTCAAGCTTTTAAGTTAAGGTTTGTGTAAACAGTCATTCCAGTAAGTCTGATACAAAGTAGTTTAAAGCCAGCTCCACTTCAGCCGCAGAAACAGTCATAGGTTTATTTCTGTATTTGAAATAATTTAGGTGATTAATTACATTTTGTATACTATATTAGTTTAATTAACATACAACAGGGATTTGTAATACACAATAAAGGAGGTGGGTTGTTAGCAAATGTAGCAACACCCACCATTAGCAAACCTACAAAATCAGGCCACCTAGTGATCTAGACAAACACACACAGATCCGAACACCTCTCTATACGTTTAGTTGTAGATAGACTCCTGAAATGACTGTTAAAAGAAGCCCTACCTTACTATGTGCGTAAACTACAGATCCGAGTAGTTTCCAGGTCCCTCCCCTACGGTCCATGCGCACCATGCGCAGGATCTGAAGGAAGCGAAGGCTACGCAGCGCAGATGTGGCAAAGATGTTACCCTGGCTACCAGCTGAAACCACAGCAACTGAGGCGATAAGTACGATGATGTCTGGGGAGTAAAAGAGGGAAATTAAAGGTCATGGGTATCACAATATTAGTAACAGGAACTGTGGTTGACTCACCTACTTTCTAAATCCATCCAACCTGCCATCCGTCACCTTTAAAACAGCTACTTATTCGCTAGAAGCTGTTGTTTTCCTTTTATTTACATGTTTACATAAGTCTTTGTTTGTCATTGTAGCTACAGCTTTAAGATATCATACGTATTTGTCTCACTGAATTTCCCGAGAATATTGACGTCTTCCTTGCTTGAACTCCAAAATAAGAACTGAGAACTGCAGTCTTTTAAAAATGTGTGTTTTTATGTTCTACCCATAGCTGTGACAGTGGTAACTGTACCTGTAGTAACTAAGGGAAGACAAGTTTTATCAACATTGTTGCAACAATAGTATAACTTCCTACTTATGAACCTGTTTATATAAGAAACTATAGGTAACATCACAGGGAAGATATTAAGAGAACGCTATACAAACACAATTAAACTGTTTGGAGTTGTGAATGGCTGCATTCATAAATTGTACAGTTACATAGCAACATCTTCACACAGACCTACCTATGACACAAAACGGTTTTCTGGCAAAGCGGAGACGTCCTTGCCAGCCTCGATAGCGGCAACAGCAGCCAGCACTCCATATCCGGATGATGTACTCCAGGCCAAACACTACAATCATCACAAACTCCTGCAGGATGCATACACAATAATTCACACACTTGAACCTTGTAGCATCATAAAAATAGTCAAACACCACAATCATCACAAACTCTCGCAGGACGCACACACAATAGTTCACGCTTGAACCTCGTAGCATCATAAAGATAGACTTAAAAAGTTATTCTTTCAATAGCTTTTTTCAAAAAGTCAAAAAAGGTAAATCTGTAAAAAAAATAAAATAAATAAAAATCATCACTTGCACTATAATCACTGTATATTTATGCATTTTAATGAGGGTAATTTACAGTCACTACATGAAACAATTTGATGTTCCTGACAGGAAAAGAAAAGGTGCAGTTAACAACATTGTTAGTGACTGTTTACCATTAAGGTGTGCCAGGTCCTTGTTTGTTTGTTTTTTTCCCATAATGCAGACTGATTCACTAGTCAGACTTACAGTGGTAATTCAGTGTTACAAGGCCATTAACACGGTTAATGGCTAAACTTGTGCTTTTCTTGCTTTGGTAGTAAAGATGTCTGTAATAAGAAAGACAATTTTTACTGCCTTTCCCTCTAGTTAATATTTCTTTTATGATTTTATATTATGCACTTTTATGCTCATTTAAATTCTTGTTTGCTCTGTACCTGTTGCTTTCCTATGTATCAGTGACAGCTACCTGCTTGCATACTTAGCACTTGCTTTGGTCCTATTTCTATTATCCTCCTCCTATTCTCTATCTTACTTGTTAAGCACCTTGGCATACCCTTGGTTTTTAAGTGTGCTTTTTAAATAAAGTTTATTATTATATTATTATATAATATTTTTGTGTTGCTGTAAATGCCAGAGGTTTTGAAATTTCCAGTTAATGAGTCTTCAGAGCATTGGGACTTGGCGACCCTGCTCTGTAACTTGATGGCCGAGTTGCTCTGGTTCCATCAAGGCTTTAACTTTGCAATTATACCATTTCATTTGATCGTGGAATATCTAGGAGGGAGGAACCTTCACAAACTGATTATTATTGATCTGATTATTACTATCTTATTACAGTACCATGCTCCAATCCTGAGCTCTTTTAAAAGATCCATTCTTTCACAAATTTTTGTAAAGGCAGACTGCATTGCTAGGTGTGTGATTCTAATCACCTTTGGGACTGTAAACAATTAAATTCAAAGATTAAGAGGTGTAGCCAAACACTTTTTTCAACATACGTAGAGTATCTTGCTGTACACAACTTTGACATATGAAACATAAAGTCATAGCCAGCTTTTAGCTAAAATCTAAAGAGATGAACCAATAAAGGTTAAAAAAGTGACAAAACTCCAGAAGGTCACTGTGCTTACATAAAAGTGTTATAAAGTAATTACTCAGTATAACAGAGTAAGCCAACAGGATACCCCATGATAATCAGTGAGCTTTACAAGGATTTAGAAAGTCTGCTTTTCAAATGTATGCTAACCTTAGCTATCTGCTTTCCTTTCACTTTTCTCATGCAAGTCTCATGACTGGAAATAACCGTTCCTTTAAAGAATCAGACCAAATCCAGATAATAGGAAGAAAAAATATTGTATGCCACTACAGCTCCACTAACAAAAAGTAGTTACCGGTATATGAAATTGGTTATACTGTGTATAATGGTGCACTGTGTGATCTGTCAGTCATCCACAGTGAGCTTCACCATGAGCACTTCATGAATGTCTCTGTTGTGCAATAAGTAAAACTGTTTTGTGTTATTTTTGCAATATCTTTTTTTTTTTTATCACTATCTCAGCTGACAGATTTGTTTTCTGCTCAAGCACGTCCAAGGTACACACTGTTAAACTGACTGACTTAACAAACTGATTAAGACACACACACACACACACACACAGTTATTTTACTGCATGACTTTATCATAAAATCATATAATGTAAACCCAATAAGCACTCTCCAGGAGACACATACCTATTGAGTCCAACGATTTGTATGAGCGTGTGTGTCTGTGCATGTATGTGTCAGTGCAGGTGCATTTGTGTGTGGTTGATTTCTTGTGTGTCCTACCAGGATGAGCAGGCAGTGCGAGGAGAACTCCTGGTGAGCAGGGATGGTGGAAAACACAGAGAGAACTAGACATCCGAATACCAGGATAAACCTTTGAAGACAAAACACACACACACACACACACACACACACACACACACACACACACACACACACACATATTAATACAAAACATATATGTGTAATAAAGGTGATTTAGATCTTCGTAAAGGTTTATACTCGTTAGCTCAGGGATTCTCTGGAAGTGATTATTCCCCCCCACCAGGCTACAATCTGGATTTAAACTGTTAAGAGCCTTATTAGTTTCTGACGAAACAATGTTTAAAGCTTCAGCATCTTTTATTTTATTACAGCACTGTAATTTAGTGAATGGAGGGAAGGCAAAGAAATGGTTATCACAGTAACAATAAGGCCTCAAATGATTGTACATTCTGTTGTTGACTAGTTATCCTAGGGTGAAGAATAATCCCTTTAAAGGGGAGCCATTATATTAATTTCCAGCTTAATATATTTATTACTCTACTAGAGCAGGTTGGCATGATTTCCTGTTTGAAATGAGCTGTTTCTTCCTTCTTCAATGATCCTTATCTGGTCTACAATGGCCCTTCAGTTCATTTCAAAGCACTTTCTGGATGGATGTAAACTGCATTTTGTTGCCTTGTACTTGTGACGTGTGCAATGACAATAAAGTTGAATTCTATTCTGTTCTAATTCTATTCCGTTGTGATCTTATCTTAGTTATTGATCTTAGTTATCTTAGTTAGTGATCTATCTTAGATATATCTACTCTCACTTGTATCATGCAGAGCCAAGAATACAAAAATTGTGTGAAACTGAGCATCTAGAGCTCGCTGAAGCCTGAGTTTTTGGCTCATAGAGATTATATAGACACTGAGCTTAGTATTTATATTTCACAGGAAACAAATAAAAAGCTAAAATATCAATATAAAGGGGGGTCACTGGAAAATCTGTATGTCAGAGCTGATATGCCACAGTCTGTATGTCAATCCAAAACTGAATCCAGTCGTGAAAAAAAATATTTTGTAATTTCTTCTTTTTCTTCTTCTTCTTCTTTTGGCTGCTCCCTTTAGGGGTCGCCATGGTGCATCATCTGCCTCCATCTCACTCTATCCCTAGCATCCTCCCCTGCCACACCAACTTTCTGCACATCCTTGTAATTTGATTTCTGATCGTTACTGTAAAGCTTGAGTCATAATCAGAGTGGAACTGTGGGTTATGGATCTGGAATAACTCTGACGTACTCAGAGTAAACACTCCAATTTCTAATGCGTTGTTTCAAATGACAATATAGACTCAAACTACATCACTGGTGCCTGCAAGGAAACCACTCAGTCTCTTGTAAGTCATATGGCAACTTGGTTAATGAGCAAATACAAATTAAAATTCACAAGGCAGCTTCCAGGCAACATATGCACCGACTAGCAGTCCCAGCCCACCGTTCTTCAGAGTAACTCTGAACTGTTTTTGTTTTTTTCCAAGATGCCATCTGTCTTTCTGATATTTATGTGTTTATGGTCTCATTCCCACAGATTTTTTAAAGGTTTCTTTTCCAGTCTTATTCCCATTCTCATTTTCGGGACCCTCGCTCTTACTTGTCTCTTTAATATACCAAATTTTTTACTGGTCCCTCCCACACTGTTTCCCTCCTCACCTCCCATCCTCCAACTGTAATCTCTCCTTCCTTCAGCCTTCTGTTTCTCTGGACGCATTTTATTTTCTCTCTTCTGGCTTCCTTGTATAATTGATGTCAGGATTTATTTTCCATAGGATCCACAAGGAATATGAAAAGTGAGGTGAATGCTTATGTGTGTACCTGGCTGCATGCTTCACAGCAGCAGAGGACTGATGGTTCGAACTTCCAGCACACATCTGTATCTGATACTGGCTCCTTGTCTAATAGCTCTTTACTGTCATGCAGACAGACAGCATGAAGAACACATTTAAAAACAGCATCCAGTTATGATAGAGAAGTTTGTGTGTTGTTGGTGTGTCTGTATGTGTAACCACAGATCGTCAGGATAAAAAACCAGGCATAGGTAATCCTTTAGACCAGGTCTGAAACAGGTCAGGTTTTAACATGACTTTCCTGATGATTTTTGTTAGGCGTTAGCAGTTTGGGAAGTGTCCAAGCTTGCGGTGGATCATTTCTATCTCTCTGCTCCACCTCGTTCACTGCAGTGACAACACACTCCCAGGCAATGTGTTTGGCTTTGTTTGCCAACCCACTAATTTGACCACTAAAAATGATGCGCTGACTGGCTTCAATCAGTCAGCTTATCTTTGAAAAAATGTATTTCCTGTTAGGATCATGGTCATTCCTAACTCAATCCAATTCCATTTAAGAAACTAGATGGCAGGTTATGTCATTGTATCAGGACCAACCAGGACTGAGGACTCTCCCATAAAGGAAACCTACCTGTGGTTAGACTCTCACTCTCTCCTTGCTGATGACTATTTGGCACACCTGGGGTGCTGCTCTTGAGCAATTCTTTTGTTTGTAAAAGGTTTGTGGTGGGAGACAGAGGACTAGGTAATTTTCACATGTAGGTTCTTTTATGTTAGACACAACCTAATGGTCCCTTTTCACATTTTGTACAATCTTGAATCATTTTCTTCACTTTCACAAGGACTCAAAATTATTGTGGCTGTCCCGTTACTCCCTCCATCCAACCAGGGGTCATAACAGTGGCTGTCAAGATGCCACTGTTAAGTAAGGGAAACAGGAAATGTAACATTTGACGGGTATGCCAAATTACATTAGAACTTGACTGAAAATGAGTAACTACATGTCTTATAGAATGATGAACCCAAATTTGAACTTTTGGTTCAAATAAATATGCCTGGAGGACATCAGTAGAGCTGGCTACAACAGTGTAAACAAAATTATGTTTTTATGAATGCAGTAAAGGATCGTCACATTTTGAGCCACCATGTATTACTATTGAGAAAATATCTGCTTGGCAACAGCATCATCAATGATCCCAAACATAATGGCAGTGCAGTAACAGCATAACAATGGAAGAACACACAGTGGAGCACTATCAGTCATGAACTGCCAAGAGCAGTGAGGGATCATGATGACAGCACGAGCTGCAGCAAAGATTCAAAGAAGAGATTTGGAGTGTCTGTCAAGAAGCCTGGAGAATTACTCCTGAAGACTCCAAAAACACTTTCTGTAAAAGCAGTGTGGGATGTTCCAGATCTCTTGTTTATGGAAGAGACCAGATCAACTTCCCTTGAATGATTGGATGGATGCATTTATGTATGTGTACTTCTACCACTCCTCTCCTGTCTCATTTATGTTTACTTTATGGAGCAAAATATATCCTAGCTTGTAACACATCCTTCAAGTGTGGCTATTTAAAGAATTCTCCCTCTAATGTTGCAGCACAACATGTTTTTTCATTGCTAGAATGCTATGAATGCTTGTTTCTTTAAATTATTTATTTATTTAGGCTGGTGAGTCCTGGATTTCAGCAGGAAATTATGAATATGAAGACAAAAGAGTTTCTGAATCATGTGCACTGGTTTCAGAACATTTTAGAAAGTAATATCGCAGAAGTTGGCTTGTAACTTCAGAGGTAAGCAGTAGTGCTCTTCTTTGTCTTGCGATCTAGTTGACCTTTCAGCCAATCTGACACCTTTTGGAAACACAGATAGCTTCACTAAACACGCCACTCTGATAATTGACTTACAAAAGTTTTTCAGAGACACCTAAAGTCTGCATGCAGTGGTGTATATGTAGGCCTTATTCCACACACTACGTTTTAGAAACCTAAAAATGCATCACTAGCACATTGCGTGTTCGCATTGGTACTCTTTGTAAGAGCATGTCATTTTAGAAGCAATGACATGTACAAATTATACTGTGATGTGATTTGAAATTGGTTAAAGAATTTTTCTCCAAAAGTTCTTGACTTAGTAAAGTGAAGCCTGGCTGAATTTCAGTGTCCAAATGTCATTTCTAAGGCTATTTTGTATTAGACAATTGCATATTTTCGAGATGGTTTTATTTTTCATCCTCATGTTTCAAGTATATTTTCTTTCTAATAACATTTCAGTACCAGGCTTTTAGTGAATAAATAAAACGAGTGAACGGTTTAGTGTACTGTGTGAAAATAGAGCAATGGGAGACCTTGATTACAGCCTTTGGCAAAATCAGAGTGAATAGTTCCTGCAATTTACAATCGGGGACTATATGAATAATTTTGGAAACACACATTATTATTCTTTGATGTTTATAACAACACAAGCAGAGGCATTCTCGATGAACGCTCCACGCTACATTTACAATGGCAGCAGTTTTCATTTTTGAGGAGAGGAGATGCAAAGATCACCCATCGCATCAGACAGCTCTTTACCATTTGGTGGACAGGTACTGGGTCTGTAATTTCAGTCATCAGATGATTATTGTTTAGACATGCTGATGAGAAGAAGGCATGACTGCGGGTTTCTGAGTCAACCGTGTGATTATGAATAATGAAAAAAATTCTAATGAACTCTTGGCTTTCTGTTTTTAAAAGTGGCATAATTTTACATCACTCATCTGAAATCAGCATAGTATCAACATTGCTTTAAGCATCCAGGAACAGTGTGTGTCTTCCATCTGTTGCATCTCTTGTCGGACATCGGTTGATGATGAAATTATTCAGTGGATGCAGGCAGACATGACGAACAAGGAAGAACTGATGAGAGATATAGTTGATAACAGCTCCTTGGTGAATTTGCCACTTTTTAGAAATAGCTGCACAAATAAAGTAGAAGTGCTGAGATCTGTGCAGCTCATTCTGAGAAAGCTGAGTATGCAGTAACAAGTATGTATTCAGTACAAGTATCTCAAGCAAGACTCTCTATTAAATATATTTTTAGTTTTCGTTAAGGCTATTGAGAAAATGCTGATACTATTGCAAATAACTTATAAAACAGACGTTTCACTTGCTGGGCCCATGTCCTTATTTTATGTTTGACAGCAATAAAGGTTAAGATAAAGGTAAAGGCTTGGACATGAATTGAGCTGATGTTTGGGGAAGGCCTCGAAGCTGACTGGCGGCGGCTCCCGGGCCGATCCTC